ATCAACAAGGAGGTTGGTAAACTTCTCCACACCAAAGCAATTAGGGAGGTGGACTACCCCACCTGGTTAGCCAATGTGGTTCTTGTCAAGAAAACCAATGGCAAGTGACGACTTTGCATAGACTTCACTGATCTCAATCGAGCATGTCTCAAGGATAGCTTTCCCTTACCTCGGATTGACTTAATAGTGGATGCCACCGCTAGACACGAGCTCCTTAGCTTCATGGATGTCTTTTCAAGCTATAATCAGATAGCGATGGATCCCGCAGACCAGGAGAAGACCTCCTTTGTGACTGAACAGGGAACATACTGTTATCGAGTCATGCCCTTCGGATTGAAGAATACTGGAGTCACCTACCAACGCTTGGTGAATTAAATGTTCCAAAAGTAAATTGGGATATACATAGAGGTTTATATCGACGATATGTTAGTTAAATCAGTGAGAGCAGAGCTCTACGTCGCTCATCTAGCGGAGTCATTTCAGGTCCTTAAGGAATAAAAGATGAGACTCAACCCTGCAAAATGTGCCTTCGAAGTATCTGCAGGAAATTTCTGGGCTTCATAGTCAACAGTAGAGGAATCGAGGCTAACCCAGAAAAGGTTAGGGCAGTCCTGGATATGCAACCACCATCCAATATAAGGGAGATCCAACACCTAATAAGAAGAATAGCTGCCTTGAGCAGCTTTGTGTCTAGATTAAACGATAAGTGTCAACCTTTCTTCAAAGTCTTAAAAAAGGCATTTCAGTGGGATGCCTAGTGTGAAGAAGCATTCAAAGCTTTGAAGGTCTACCTGAACTCCCCTCCAGTTCTGGTAAGCCCTTTGGAAGGGGAAATACTTACTCTCTATCTAGTAGTCTCAGAATTCTCAACCAGTGCAGCACTAGTAAACGCGCAAGATAGAGCTCAACAACCAGTCTGTTACTGCAGTTGAGCTCTTAGGGGGGTAGAGGAGAGATATCAAAAAATGGAGAAGCTTATCCTAGCCTTGGTGGTTACGGCCAGGAGACTTAGACTGTACTTTCAGGCTTATACAATCGAGGTACTAACAGAACAGTCGATGAAGCAAGTGCTGCATAAACCAGAGTCTTCAGGAAGGTTGGTTAAATGGGTCATAGAGCTCAATGAGTTTGATATCAGATTCAAGCCAAGAACTGCAATCAAAGGACAAATTTTGACAGATTTCATCGCAGAGTTAACAACAGCAACACCCATGGAAGCTGCACGGCTAGTACCTGACCTCCCCACATGAAAGCTTTTAGTGGATGGAGCTGCCAATGCTCAAGGAAGCGGTGCAAGCTTAATACTGACCTCTCCAAATGGAGTATACGTTGAGTATGCCCTTAGATTTGGGTTTAAGGCTTCAAACAATGAGGCAGAATATGAAGCTGTTATTGCTAGGATCAACCTTGCTCACTCAATAGATGCAGAGCAGTTGAAAATCTGCAGTAATTCCTAGCTAGTAGTAAAACAGATAGAGGAGTCTTTATGAATCTAAGGGTGAGAAAATGGTCCTTTACCTCAAAAAGGTGCAGGAATTGATCAAGAAGTTCATGCAAGTTAAGGTCCAACATGTCTCAAGAGCTGAAAACTTGCGAGCAGATGCCTTGGCAAAGTTGGCAACAGCCTCACAGGAAAATTTAGACAGATTGATTCCAGTAGAGCACCTAGCAGAACCTTTTGTGAGCGTTGAGGATGAAGAAGTGCTGCCTGTGCAAGCCCCACTAAGCTGGATGGACCCCATAGTAGAGTATCTTCAAAATGAAACTTTGCCAGAAGATCCCAAAGAAGCTGCAAAACTAAGAACCAGGTCAGCTAGATTTTCTATTTTGCTAGGAAATTTATACAGACGAGGTTTTTCAACTCCTCTCCTTAAATGCGTGGGGGATGAAGACGCCAATTACATACTCAGAGAAATCCATGAAAGAGTCTGTGGAAACCACATCAGAGCTCGAGCTTTGGAGGGGACAACAATAAGATAGGGATACTATTGGCTGAAAATGCTTAAGGATGCTACAGATTTGGTCAAAAGATGCAAGGTCTGTCAAGTGCACGCCAATGTTTCCCATTGCCCACCAGAACTCTTGACTTTATTAATAAGCCCTTGGCCATTCCACCAATGAGTTTGGACATACTTGGACCCCTTCCTATTAGTGTGGGGCAGTGTAAATTCGTCATTATTGGGGTAGACTATTTCACCAAATGGGCGGAAGTAGAACCCCTGGCAACGATTACAAAACAAAAAATCTAGAACTTTACGTGGAAATCAATGATCTGCAGGTTTGGTATTCCCCGGGCAATCATCTCCGACAATGGAAGGCAATTCGACAATCCCAAGTTCAACAATTTCTGTGCTGAGCTCGGGATTAAGAATTATTTTTCAGCTCCAGCTCACCCTCAGTCTAATGGACAAATAGATGTCACCATTAGGACCATTAAAGCAGCCCTAAAAACTAAGATGAAAAATCTAAAGGGTAAATGGGTAGAACACCTTCTAGAAGTGTTGTGGGCTTACAGATCAACTGTCAGGTCGGCGACTCAAGAGACACCATTTCCCTTGGCCTTCGAAATTGAAGCAGTGACACCTATCGAGGTTGGGCTCCCATCCCCTAGGACTGAATTTGCAAACAATGAGAGCAATAATGAGTCCTTTCTATTGAACTTGGATCTTTTGGAAGAAAAGAGGGAAACAACTTTGCAACGAATCAAGAGTTATTAGAGGAGGACAACCAGGTACTACGACAGGAAGGTCAGACACAAAATTTTTAAGGTGGGGGATCTAGTGTTTAGAAAATTTCTGTTAGTAAGGAAAGAGCCATCTCATGAGAAATTGGGGCCTAATTGAGAAGGACCATATATCATCTCAAAGGTGATCAGACCTGGAAATTACGAGTTACGAACAGAGGAAGGAAAAATCTTACCTCATTCTTGGAACGCAGAGCATCTTAAAAGATTTTTCTAGTAAGTCTATTCTATAATATGATTTTTCTTAAATAATAAAGCAAGCCTTTGACTCATAACTATGAGACTGCATAAAAAAGAGCTCAATAGCTGACGATGAACTCCTCAATTTATAAAACGAGCTCAATAGCTCCCGATGAACTCATCAGTTCATAAAAAGAGCTTAATAGCTTACAATGAACTCCTCAGTTCATAGAACGAGCTCAATAGCTTCCGATGAACGCTTTAGTTCATAAAAAGAGCTCAACAGCTCATAAAAATTGAGATGAGCTCTTTAGCTCATAAATTTTTTTTTAAAATAACGGCACATAAAGTAAGGATGGGCTCTTCAGCTTGAGCATAAGAGATGAGCTCCTCCACTCATGAAGTCGATGCAGATACTTCAAATCATAAGCATGCAACAAGGTCTAAAGCAAAGTTGCAAACAACCAGTAAAGGAGAACACTTAACCATCGAGCAAAACAAATGTTCAAAGCAATACAGTGGAGAAAACAAAAGAAATACAAAGGAAACTCTTAGTTCTCAACATCGCTGAGGCGTCTCTTGAGCTCAGCCACCCCCTTTGGGTTGAATCTGATGTCAACCCCTGGGTTTAAGCTATTTTTTGAATCGACCCATCACAGTGAGAATTTTATTTTATGGTAATGCACTCTTACGGCTCAGCACAAGAGCTCCTGAGGAAACTTCTCAGATTTCTATGGGCTGAGGTTAGCTCGTATGGCTGCATAGACCTTCTGAAGTTGCTCCTTAGAGCCACCCACCTCAAACTCAACATCTCCTTGATGAGCTGGCTAAAATTGGGTTGGTATTTCTCAGGCTTATCTTCCATCAAAGTCTCCATGTATGCAGCAACATGGCCCCCAAGGATATATTTCTATATGGACCTCAACATCGCCGAATTGAGCAGATCCTTGGTGGCACAATTAATTGGTGGACACCGCCAACAGAGGCCTGCCACCCATCTACTCCGCATAAAAGAGAATCGAGACGAGAGTCTAAGGAGTTATCTCACTCGTTTTAATAAGGTGGTCCTCCAAATCGAGGAGCCCAAAGACAAATTCACCATAACCGCCTTTCTAGGATACCTCTGCTCATCAAGTTTTCTCTTTTCAGTAATGAAGCAACCACCAAAGAGTATGCCAAAATTATTGGCAAAAGCTCAAAAATATATGAATGCTGAGGAAATTAACAGGTCCAGGCGAGGTGAATCATCTCACGAATCGCCAAAAGCTTGACCTATCTTTGCTTTGCTCTCAGGTAGGCAGCCTATGTCTCTAGCTTAGCGACTCTCTCGCGGGTCGTCAAAAACTTGGCCTCTGCTCTACTTTCAAGTATGCAGCCTATCTCCAGTTTAACGGCTCTCTCATGGGTCGCCAAAAGTTTCATCTCTGGTCTGTTCTCAAGTAGGCAACTCATATCTCCAGTTGAGCAGCTCTCTCATGGGTCGCTAAAAAATTAGTCTCTACTCTGCTCTCAAGCAGGCAGCCTATCTCCAACTTAGTGGTTCTTTCGCGTGTCACCAAAAGCTTGGCCTCTGCTCTGCTCTTAAGCCGGCAGCCTATATCACCAACTAAATGGCTCTCTCATGGGTTGCCAAAAGCTTGGCCTACATCGACTCTCCTCTCAAATAGGCAGTCTAAACCTTTAGCTTAGCGGCTCTCCCATGGGTCGTCAAAAGCTCGGTCTCAAAATGTAGCTCTCTCACGAGTAATCTTCAAACTCTGTCTCTCCTTTCATGCAAACAGTTTGCCTCTCTCTACAGGTAATCATGTTAGATATTTTGATGTTAGAATAACATTATTTTTATCATCTCTAGGCACATTTTTGAAACTCAGGTCATCTACAATCCGCAGGACTACATTAGATTGAATGTCAACAATTGAGCCGCATAACTCAATGTTCATTCTCAACCACCACGCTTGGTTAGCTTAGTGTTGGCGAATCTACTCCCAGCGCGCCTAAGCCCCAGTACTATTTCACAAGAGGCACCCGTCGCCAACTGCGTCTCGCCTAGTAGCATAGGCACCTCACTAGTACCACCCTATGGTATAAGTGCTTCCGCAGTAGTGTCTACCGCCATAGGCACCTCACTGCTACCACCCGACGCATGGAACATCCTGTCTATTGCCATTTGCGCCCCTCCACCAGCACCCAATGCCATGGTCGCCCCTTCAGAAGTGCCCAGCGCCATAGACGCCCTTCCAGCTGCGCCCAACGCCATAGATGCCCATCCAGTAGTGCCCAACACCATGGACCCCCCTCCAGCTGCGCCCAGTGCCATGGGCGCCACTCCATCAATGCCATTCCTGCGCGCCCAGCTAGAGCAGCAGCCTATCTTGCGCCCAGCAGCAACCTCTCTTGCGAGTCCAACTAGCGTCGAAGCCTCTCCTATGTGCCAAACCAGCGCAGCAGCCCCTCCTGCGCGCCTTAGCAGCTCGCAGCGTAGCACCCTCTCCTGCGTGCCTAACTAGGTGACCAACACCTTTCAAGCACCCAGCATCTCTCAGGCGCCCAACACCTCTTTGGTGCTCAGCCCAGGTGCCTATCACCTCTCAGGCACTCACCAGTCGCTCAGCTTCTCAAGCGCCAGCCCCAAGGCGCCTTGCTCTCTTGCACCTTCCTCTCCTCTCCAAGTTCCAAATATAAAATTCGGAAGGTCTTGAGATGTCCTTGAAAGGTGGAATATAATAAGAAAGAAAGGAGTCGCCAACCAAAAGGAGCCTCTAAGAAATTCAAGTTCAAGAAGGGTTGATCACTATTTTGACAATAACTTTTGCTCCGTTACTCTAAACGGGGCTTATTATCTATCAAATTGAAGCTCTTGACGAGTCCTACAAGATTCATAGCCTTGGGCTTTGATAGTCGTTGTTAAAAGTCCAAAAAAGGCCTAGAAATATATGTTTTAGCCTCTCGAAGTTTTTTGAGTTGTTTTTCCATGCTTGCCCATAGGAGCTCGCCTATGGTGCTCGCCCATGGGTGCTCGCCCAATGGCAAGGACCTCAGTCCCTTGATGCAGCGCCTCTCCCGTGACCATAACTTTTGATCCGTTTCTCCAAATGGGACCCATAATATATCAAATCAAAGCTCTTAACGAGCCCAGCACGACTAATCGTCTTTGGTTGTGACAGACATTGTTAAAAGCCCAAAAAAGGCTTAGAAACATTTTGTTTGGGCCTTTTAAAGTCGTTCCAATTATGTGTTCAGTCGAAATTCAAACTCAACTGAATGCCCTATTATCCAACTACCATTGGACACAGGGCATTGGGGGGAAAATGATAGGTCAAATCCAAGGGCCCAACCCATGTTGTAAGCCCAATTTAAATTAAGAGCCCAACTTAAGAGAGCTTCAACAAGTCTAGCCCAAAGTGGTCCACGTTTAGTCAAGCTCATCAGGTTCGAGGAGTTACATCAGCAAGGGAGCGTGAAGGGTCACTCAAGAGCCTCATCCTCGCTGCCTTTAAAAGAGTCAACACCTATCTTATCCTTTAATCGAATCTCATGGAGAACACTACAACTACCTCGCTCGTGGAGAAGAGATAGCCAGCTCCTCCAGAATAGACACTTAGTTACTAATAACTCGCCCCAATCTGTTATGGGACAACTATAAATTGTAAGCCCTGCCAACATTTGAAGGACATATCACACTCAATCGAGCACAGCTCTCCTCTCCCTCTCAAAGCTTATGACTCTCTATTCTCCCTACACTCTTGAAGCAATAAAATACCCAACGACCCTAACCATTCAAAGTGGATGTAGGCCACGTTGACTGAATCACTATAAATCCTTGTCTTCTCCATCTCTTACTTATTTACTGCATTTATTATTGATTATTTGACATGTGGTGTGCAAGCCCAATTTGTGCATCATCAAGTTCCAACCACATGAGTTGTTTCAGGGTTTGTGCCATGATCATACAATCTAACAAGCCCAAAGTCTCCAAGCCGACCGTTAAAATTAGCATCTAGCAATAAATTGCAGGCCTTCACATCTCTGTGAAGAACAACTTGTTCCCATTGTTGATGTAAATATAGCAGGCCAGAAACTATCCCTCTGAGAATTGGATAGCGTTGTGCCCAATTAAGGCTTGTTTTTTGGTTGCTGTATAAGAACTTGTCGAGACTTCCATTGGGCATGTAATCATAGACCAGGAGAAGCCCTTCCTTTCACTGGCAGTAGCCGAGGAGGGCCACTAAGTTCTTATGCCTCAGCCTTCCCATGCTAGCAATTTCTGCCACGAATTCCCTCATTCCTTATATTGAATGATGTGAGACTCTCTTCACTGCGACTTGTGCTTTGGAAGAAGGAAGTACTCCTCTATAAACTTTTCCAAAACCTCCAGCTCCAAGAAGTTCTTTCTCTTTGAAACCTTCGGTTGCTTTGTAGAGATCCTTATAGGAGAATCTCTTAGGTCCATATTCCATTTCCCAATCCTCTCTTATTTCTTCATACTTTCTCTTTCTCAGAATGTAAGCAGTCCCGCATAGAGTGATGATCACAATAGATACTAAAACAATTGAGACTACCATTTCAACAACCGGTAATCCCTTTGATTTTATTGAACCAGGAACCGAAGGAAGCTTTGAGAGTTCTAGACCCTTTGCTGACCCAGTTTTGTTGAAGCTCCACCTGACAATATAGTGGTTGATTGCGTCAGCTGCACCTGTTGCTGCAGAGAAATCAATATACATGGAGTGCAAGAAAATTGGAGAAAGATTGATGGAGGTTGGCAGTAGAGGTTGATTAGGTTTTGGGCTTTTGATTGGAGCTAGGGCAACTTTTATAATCTTTTTTCATCCATCATAATCGATCCAAATTTGAATTGGTTTTCCACTCGTAAGCTCCAAGCTTGTGTTTATGCCATTGGAGAAATATGACACAGGAGCTGATGCAGTTGAGGTTAAGTTGTTTACGTCGATTCCAACATGATTGCCATTAATATCGTGGAATAGAGTATTAGCAATAGTGTCAAACTCAACTACGAAGACATGGTTTGAGGAAAGGCCATTGTTAGAAGAATTGAAGAGTCCCAAATAGAGGCTTGGCGTGGCATGACTGAAGTCCATAGATGGAGAGATGCTAAAAGCAAAGCCATTGCCATTTTGAACTGACAATTCGGGAACAATGGCGAAGATAAAACAGATGGAAAATGAGTAGCTGATCAAAAGCCTACGTTGCAAAAATGTATTTCTTTGCTGATTTCTTCACCATTTTCTTCTCTAAGCTGGATTGCTGCTGGTTTTCACAACAGATTTGGGAGCTGCACATCTCACTGTTCACATGACTGTTCATGTGAACAGTAAATGCTGAAATTTGTTCTTCCTCTACTGGATGTTCTGGAGTCACTGGACTGTTCAATTGGTTCTTGCAGCTGATTTTTGCGGCTGGTTTGGGATTTTTTGGATTGCTTCAAAATATGGCTCACATGTTGCTTGCTTGTTTGTGATTGTTGGTCGTTCTACGTGCGATTCCTTGGTGCTTCTTTTTCTTTGCTAATGCATGCAATTGGCTTGCAACGGGGTTGCTTATGGGGTTGTTGCTTGCTGGTTGTTTAAGGGCAGCATTGGTCCTGCGTTTTGTCTGTTTCTATTACCAATGTATGCTTTTGTTAACATGGAAGTGTTTGTTAGCTGCAATAGACCATCGGGCCGGATTTGAGCCAGCTTATCAAGGTGAAGATTGGCTTCACGAAAGCCATTGTAAATGAACTGGTTTTGAGCTTGAGTTATGGCCAAGAGTTTGTAAAACACAGAGAGAAGTAGCATCCTGAAATGAAGAGATATAAGATCTGTAGTCTTTTTTTTAGAGAAGAAAAGGTTTCTTCTTTAAAGATAAAGTGACAATTGCTATTCCTTTGCCAAGTAATGAGTTTTCTCAATTGCTAAATGTACTACATTAATACATTTTGGAAAATGCTATTTGGTTGAAACGTTCGTATCGCTGTTGCCACTAGCCAAGCAGATTGGGAAATTAATGAAAAGCCAACCACGCAAATTGGATCAATAGCAAAAAAAAATTAAAAAAATACACAAATTGGACAATCATGTAAAGCCTCTGACAAGCAATTTCTTGATCCGATTTATTGACTAGTGTGACTTTGATATTAAATAACGGATTATGTCAATAGATTAGGTAGAAGTGTTGATATCTCTCTATACATAAGTCTCGGATTTCTCATTTAATTTATCTGATTTTGAAGTCCAAAATTTTCATGTTTTTTTATTAGGTTCTGTTGTCATATGTTTACTAGGTTTACTAACATCACTAAATGTGGGCGTTGTATTTGTACAAGAGTAATGCCTAGTTAAATTTAAAAGATTAATACAATTATACTCAATTTCTATTGGACAGCGAAATGTCTAATGCACATAGGCGGGATTTTATCATGTCTTGTTAATGTCTTTGTAGGTACCGTGTTTAAGGGTGACTCCATGAAGTGAACAGAGGAGTACTTGAGACTTACTGGAAAATGACAGCATCACCGAATATGATCCTAACAACACTAACATCCATATTGTCATTTGAAGAATGGAAAAATAACCTATATATCCATTTAGACTGCCCTAGCCTAACTATGGCTGAAATTTCCTAGGATAAAATTAAAACTATAGGTTTTTTTTTGGGTCATAAAAACTATAGGTTCAATCCATAATTTTCCGTATAAGGCCAAGATGAAATTTATAGTAATGAGTAGGTGCTATACTAAAAAATTATGACTATATAAGGTTCAAAATTTTGATATCGAATCTAAAGGACAAAATTTTGGATGGAACCTAGCTCAACTTCACTGGGTGGTAAGATGAAATGTTTGAATTATAACTTGGTCTAATTTAATCGTAATATTTTATGTGAGAATGAAAAATCAACGATCCTGTTAATGACATTACTTTCGATATCTTTCTTGATCATCGCTTTGAAAAGAAGGTCTCGACGAATCCGACGAAAAGAGCAAGTATGGCAAGTTATTGAAAAGGCAAATAATTGCAGTGCTGATAGTGATTGCCAACAAATTATAAGTAGCTGGGTTTTTAACTCATGAACTATGGGTTGAATTGCCCACATGGGTTGGACACAAACCCAACAAATAACAACGGACTACATCAATATATTAGGTAGAGATGTTGATATCTAACAACAAAGAGTAATTTGGAAATCCGTTTAAAAATTTAGACTTATTTGAGCAAAATTACATCAAAGAAATTTATTTGGCCATAAGTGTATTCTTTTAAAAAAAAAAGACCAAAATGCCATTTATTACTCCATTACTCTCTCTCTCTCTCTTCCTTTCTCTCACTCTCTCTTCCCTATTTTCTCTCTATCTATTCTCTCTCTTTCTCTCACATTGATAATTTATTTTTTTAAATATGTAAATATTTGATTTAATTTTTTCATTTCTCTCCCCATTTTTTTTCTCTCTCACTCCCTCTCCCCTTATTTCCTTATTCTTTCTCTCTCTCTCTCCTTATATCAACATTACAACAACAAAATTACACTAATCAGTTACACAAATTAGTTACAATTACCTAATAATACACCAAACAGTTACTTGTGTGTTCTAATAAACCAAACAATTACACTAATCAATTATATGAAATTACAACACCAACCCAATTTATCATAAAGTTATTTACATAAATCAAAGAGTTATACTATTTAATATCACAACATGGTTACACCAATTATATATACTAAATTGGGTTTATCATTACACAAAAGACTTTATCATTATACTAAATTTGATATATATAATTAGTGTAAAGATGTCGCGATATTAAATAGTGTAACTATTTAGTTTATGTAAACAATTGAATGACAAATTGAGTTGGTGTTATAATTTTATACAATTGTTTGGTGTACCTATTTGGTTGATTAGAACACATGAGTAACTATTTGGTGTATTATAGGACATCTGTAACTAATTGGTATAATTTGTGTTGTTGTAATGTTGATATAAATAGAGAGAGAGAAATAGTTAGAGAAAATAGGAGGAGAGAGAGAAATGGGGGAGTGAGAGACGAAAAAATAAATCAAATTTCTACATATTTGAAAAAGAAAATAAATATTCAATGATAGATAGAGATATGGGGAAAGCAAAGGGGAAGAGAGAGAGTGAGAGATGGAGAGAAAATAAGAGAGAGAGTGAGAGATGGAGAGAAAATAAGAGAGAGTCTAATAAAATTTTTACATATTTGATTATATACAATCAAGAATGCAAAATTTAAGGAAGGATATTTAGGTAAAAAAATTTTGATTTTATTTGAATTTTATACCTAAATACAATATGTTTTATTAAAATTGAACTTAATAGAATAAACAACTAATTCATACACTTTCCCTCAAATAAGTATAAAAAATTTTACCTACAACCAAAAAACCCAAAAATTAAAAAAATACACAAATTGTACAATCGTGTAAAGCGTCTGACAAGGAATATCTTGATCCGATTTATTGAATAGTGAGACTTTGATATTAAAAAGCGGATTATGTCAATAGATTAGGTAGAAGTGTAGATATCTCTCTATACATAGGCCTCGGAGTTCTCATTTAATTTATCTAATTTTGAAGTCCGGAATTTTCATGTTTTTTTATTAGGTTTTGTTGTCATATTTTTACTAGGTTTACTAACATCACTAAATGTGGGCGTTGTATTTGAACAAGAGTAATGCCTATTTAAATTTAAAAGATTAATAAAATTATACTCAATTTCTATTGGACAGCGAATATGCCTAATGCACAAAGGCGGGATTTTATCGTGTCTCGTTAACGTTTTTATAGGTACCGTGTTTAGGGGTGACTTCATGAAGTGAACAGAGGAGTACTTGAGACTTACTGGAAAATGACAGCATCACCCAATATGATCCTAACAACACTAACATCCATATTGTCATTTGAAGAATGGAAAAATAAACCTATATATCCATTTAGACTGCCCTAGCCTAATTATGGCTGAAATTTCCTAAAATAAAATTAAAACTATAGGTTTTTTTTTGGTTTTTTTTGTCATAAAAACTATAGGTTCAATCCATAAATTTCCGTATTAGGCCGAGATGAAATTTATGGTAATGAGTAGGTGCTATACTCAAATATTATGACTATATAAGGTTCAAATTTTTGAGATCGAATCTGAAAAAATAAATTTTGCATGGAACCTAACTCAACTTCATTGGGTGGTAAAGTAAAATGTTTGAATTATAATTTGATCTAATTTAATCGTATTAGTTTTTTGTGAGAATGAAAAATCAACGATCTTATTAATGACATCAGTTGCGATATCTTTCTTGATCAAGTATGGCAAGTTATTGAAAAGGCAAGTATGGCAAGTTATTGAAAAGGCAAATAATTGCAGTGCTGATAGTGATATGCAACAAATTAAAAGTAGGTGGTATAGTACACGTTATTCCACAAAACACCTCTTTTCTTTAATTAATGGGTTTTTAACTCATGAACTATGGGTTGAATTGCCCACATGGGTTGGATGCAAACCCAACAAATAATAATGGATTATATGAATATATTAGATAGAGAGGTTGATATCTAATAATAAAGGGTAATTTAGAAATCGGTACAAAAATTTAGACTTATTTAAGAAAAATTACATTAACGAAACTTGTTTGGCCTTAAGTGCATTTTTAATAAAAAAGATCAAAATGTCATTTATTACTCTATTACTCTCTCTCTCTCTCCATTACTTTCTCACTCTCTCTTCCCTATGTTCTCTCTATTTATTTTTTTCTCTTTCTCTCACATTGATAATTTATTACTTTAAATATGTAAAGATTTAATTTAATTTTTTCATCTCTCTCCCCTATTTTTTTTCTCTCTATCTCATTCCCTCCCCCCTTATTTCCTTATTCTCTCTCTCTTATATCAACATCACAACAACATAATTACACTAATCAGTTACACAAATTAGTTACAATTACTTTATAATATACCAAACAGTTACTCGTGTGTTCTAATAAACCAAATAATTATACTAAATAATTATACAAAATTACAACACCAACCTAATTTGTCATTCAGTTATTTACATAAATTAAAGAGTTACATCATTTAGTATCACGACAGGATTACACAAATTATATACAATAGATTGGGTTTATCATTATACTAAATTTGGTATATATAATTAGTGTAACGATGTCACAATATTAAATGGTGCAATTATTTAGTTTATGTAAACAATTGAATGACAAATTGGGTTAGTGTTATAATTTTGTGTGATTGTTTGGTGTATCTGTTTGTTTGATTAGAATGCATGAGTAACT